CCAAAATGTTTTTAACCATTTTTTCTTTAAATGATAGCTTCTCCAGTTTCTAAAAGTCTCACTTAATTTCAAGACAGTACTTTGCAGCATAATATAATCTGTGTTGAAATAAAAAAATATTTTATTTTCACACTTTATTTGCATGTCCAGCTGAAGCAGAAGCATTTGTCCCTATCAGACAACAAAAATTGGACATGATTTTGCAATCTCAGAGGTTTGAGCCAGATAGTCCCAGTTATAATCAAGATATGATAAATATTTCTTAAGGAAGCTAAGCTTGGTCATATAATTTACTGAAGGGTTTGTTTCTCAATGCTTTAGACCTTTAGGGTAACTATGTTCAGGCAAGTGGGAAAAGGGGCAATGTGTCATGAGAAAAATGTTTGGTTACAAAGAAAAAAAAATAGCCATCTGTGATCCAGAGAACACCAGAGTCAGAAGAAGTATGTAAACATAATGCATAAAAAGAGTGATAAAATGTATATACTATTTCCTTCAGGGCTGCTGTGTATATGATAGTTGTTCTGTTCATGAGTATTCACAATTTTTAGGGTTAAAGGTATATTACACAGTTCATGATTTTGAAATTATATGGGAAATAGTGGATTGAGGCATATGGCCAAATATCAGATTTCTGTGAAGTATTAACTAAGCCACATGGGAAACCAGGTAGAACTTCATGAAAATTATCTTTGAAAGATTAAGGCTATTTGTATCAAAAAAAAATTTTGCTTACTGAGACTGGGTTTAGTATGAAAAATATCTAAGCAGTGAATGAAAGGAAAGTGGGGGGCCTGTGAATCTGTTTTGCTTATTGTATTAAACATTTAAAAGTAAGATAAACAATGCCTGTTCAGAATGAATAATTTCCCTTTAGGAAACCCAGTAATTGAATCTTATAGAATGCATAATCAAAAATATTTATTTACTTTACATTCATGTGTGTGTGTGTGTGTATCTGTATGCATGTGTATCTGTGTGCATGTGTATCTGTGTGCATGTGTATAATACATTGCTGCCTGCATTTCCTCACTGTCTTTTGTAAGTCTATTTTATATACAGAGGAAAAAAAAAACTTGAACAGCTGTAGGGGAATTGTGCATTCCTTTGAATATCCGCAATCAGTATAAGGTCAAGTGTAGAAGGGAGAACTTTCCAAACAAGAAGAGATCTGCTTTGTAACTAACAAATTCAACATACTGTCTTAGAGTCTATAGATGCAGATCATACAGATGAACATTCTTGGGCAGTTTATAAAAATATTTCAGCTATAAAACATTTTTACTGAGGATTTTTCAAAGAGTACCTTTTAAGCATATAGTTGCAGCATGCAAAGTACAGAGGAATTATTAAGCATCTCACATCTTTAGCCCCTTCTGTTGTACAATTCCCTGCCCAAGTCCCAGTGAAGGAAATGAAGATGCTACAGTAAAGCTGAAACCTAAAATAAAAGTAAATATTGCCTTAAGTCGAGTTTGACTTGAGGACTGCAGAGACCTGTCCATGTGGTTTTCTTGGCAATGATACAGAAGTGGTTTGGCCTTGCCTTCTTCTGGGAGTGGTTTTTCAACTTTCCAGCAGAACCTGTAATCTTGAATTTTCCTGGTGGTCTGATACAAGTGCTAAAGTTCAGGCCCACTTTGCTTTTTCAAGATGAGCCCAGGTCATTATGTGCTGCCACCTGCTGTGGCTCAATAGGATATTAGCACTGTCCATCTAAATAATTTCTCTAGTTTCAAACAAAAATAGGTAGTTTTCAATAATTCAGATTTATGAAAGCACAGTATCATAAATAAGCTGCGTGTGGCAAGACAGAAAAAAAAGCAGATCTGAAGTCAAGTGTTTCATATC